CATCTATACTGTAATTTTAAAACAATTCTTAAACTATTTTAGAAGTTTTCAGATATTTATTCTTTTATCTTCAGGGAACTCAAAAATGTATGATCTACCAAGTGAACCTTTTACAAGACAGTTTTACTTTGTCCACTCAGTTGGTCAGTTTAAGTGAGTATAAAATTTGAGTTGATTTCTGTGCTTTTGACCCTATCCTTGTAACAGAAGCAGGATGTGTGACTCTTGAATGGATTATAGACAAATCTGCACACGTCAAATGCTGCCACCTTGTGGCCAACCGCGGTGTTTCGCATCACTGTCTCAAACGCTAAGTATTAGTTTGTTTTGGATTTCAGGGGAAGGACTTCAAGGGAGATTATGGCAAGAGATAGAAGTGTTCCTAATTTTACTGAAGATTCTTTACATGAGGTGAGTTATTAAATATTGAGTTATAATCATATTTTTTAAAGCTTGGCTTTTTCAAAACTATGGTAAACACGTTTCATTATTTTCTTCACTAAGAGTTGATAACAATTAAAACGAGTTCTTTAGGACAGTCAAGAGTACAGACTTCATTTATTGTTACATTTAAAAATACATTTCTAAACTCAGAAAGGGAAGTGAGGAAAAACTAGAAAATAGTTATACACGTGCGAAGACACTAGTTCATGGTGTGCACTTAGTGAGATCTCAAATTTCACTATCTAAGCAAATTCACTAATGTGTTAATCACTAATGTAAGGAAGAAAACAAGTTTGTATACAGAGGGGTAAAATTCTCTAAATGTGGCATAAAGTCGCTCATATAGACAATTCTGTATGTGGCCGTCTTCCTATTTAATCACTCAGTTATTAAAAGAAGCCTGCTTTACATTCTGTGGTGCAATTAGGTGACTCTTCTCAGGAACATGACTTTTCTTATTTCTGCTTATTGATATGACTATTGATGAAAAGTTGCATTTATAGCATGTGTGGCATAGACTTGTTGGAACAAATATACATACAGATGTTCTCAACCTTTGTTTTAGAGGATTAAAGTAATTTTTGTTAACATGCCTAATTTTGATTTCATAATCTTTCACAACTCTGCTAATAGCCCTGATGCTGGGTGGGAAACCTGCAAACTTTAAAATCTGCCTAGGTTCAATCAGGTGCTAACTTTTCCCTTCTTATGGGTCTTTAGGCAGATTGCTTAACTTTGCTGATCAAGTTTCCTCAGCTGTAGGATGGGGACAATGAGATAATCATGGTACACACTTGTTAAAGTTGTAAAGATTAAATGTGAAAACACATAAAGCATTTATGCTGTGTCTGACACCTGGAGCATGTACATGTCAGACTGTCACCACAGGGATGTGAAAAGAGTTGAAATTATGCCTGGAAAGTACTGAGCACATTAGATGGTACTCAAGGGTAGCTGTTGTGCTGGTTGTTGTGACAGTGTGCACATGTCAACCATTTGAACTGAACTTTCTGTTTAGCCTGGGAGGCAACGAATCATACAGAAACAGAATGACCAGTCAGACCAGAGCAGATCTCAGACTGCTGACAAAGGAGATGGTGATCAGCCCAAGAGGACTGGACTGAAACAGACAGCTCCTGGAAACAGGCGAATGCTGCGTAGACACACTGTCGATGAGGCAGTTGTACCTAGGGGCCCAGAGACTGCTGGCAACCTAACCACTCCCCAAGAGGCTAGTATTTCCCAGTCTTAACAGTAATAAGGAATTAAATTTGCTGCCAAGAAGTGAGACCTTAACAAGAAGATGCCAAGCATGAGTACAGAGTAGAACTAAATGTGCTATTTGGCTTGAGAGGAAAGCAGAAAGTTCCTGAAGCTTTTCTGTGGCTGGAAGAATGCAACAAAGAAAATGACTGCCATCTCTTTCTTCTTCAAGCTAATGAATACACTTGAAAAGGAATGGATGAAAATTCCAGTGGTGTCCAGATCCTTAAGACCCGGGTGTATGTTTCTTCTTAAGCATTAGGGTTCCTTAGTTACAGTAAGAGGTTTCATCACCAGATTCTGACCTCCTCCTCCTAAAAGGTGCTAAACCTCTGTGATGTGTATAAATTAACAAACCATGAGCTAAAAGAATTCCTTCATCTGGGATGAGCTGAAGAGAATTTAGGTTTCATAGTACTGTGGAGCCCGGGCAGAAATGTCACATATGAATGAAGAAAATAGGACCTGAGAAATGTTCCTTTTGCAAAGCAACACTTTAACCCAAAGATGCTAAATGCCATTTTATTCACTTTAGTGAAAAGGACACATATGGCCTGCTCTGCACTATGTATGTGGGCAAAGTTGCATGTACTTTCCTTACAACAAAGCAAGTACAGGTATTTGGTCACCGCACACAGGCATCTGTAGCGGTGTCTTTGGAAACATCCCTTTCCGTTAAAAATCGTCCCTTAGATATCCCACCTGAAGGATGGCAACTAAACTAGAGCGTGGATTTGGCACATCTTTTTTTAGTCTTTTGATTCAGATTTAAAACTTACAGCACAAACCAGGTCAAAGTTACTTTAAGTTAGAATTTATTGCCATTTGTTCCTTTTTATGAATTTCTATAGATTATACCCTTATTTTTTTATGTTATTAATTGGTCTAAAGCCACAAACATGGGTTTGTCCTGAGTACATTTTGAAATAACTTTGTAATAGGGAAAAGCTTTGTGCATGTTCTTAGAAATACTGTGTATGTATAGAAGGGAGGGGCTGATTATTTTTCTACAAAGTAATTTATGATTTCTAATTTTCTAATGTGCCTTGGGTATGTGCCAAATGATGGAAAAGAAACAGTAAACTTTATGATTCTTCAGAGTGTCATGGTTTACTTTTTTAGTTAACATTTTGCTATGGAGATCTTTGTTTCTAAGCCACTCTACTATAATCTTCCTCCATTGGACGGATATACATTTTATTTTTCAGTTGCAGGTGTGTGCGTGACTGAAACGATGTGTGTGTGACTGAAACATGCAAACTAGATCATTCAGAGATTATTACCAATCTCCCCTGACCAGGGCTGACAATACACCAGACACCTAGCCTAGGGCTCTCAAAGTTTTCTTTTAAAATCAGAACAAAATGAATATACTACAGGTTCTTAGCCCAAACAGGAAATGAGCACTGATGCTTTGACAATTTATTCATCAGCCTTTTCACTTTTGAACAAAACAACTTGAGTTGCTAATTAAGAATCTATATCTTATGCAGTTTATCGGCACAGCCATTTCCATGATGCAATGATGCCACCCAATTTTTTGGACGGCGCAACACAATTTTGAAATTATATACTTCTGTGTATTCCCCTATTTAAATTTAACAATTGCCCTGGCTGACAGAATCATCACATGACGAAACAGGTTCAGAGAAGGGGGCCAATTTGCTTATGCTATCACAGCTGGTGTCGAGGCCCAATTGGCAGTGACTGGCGGTGTCATCTGAACTGGCAGTTTCCAGCTTGGTGTACCCTTCATCTGGAGATATAAATACCCTGAATGGGACTTTCAATCTTAACGGAGGAGTTTTCTCTTAAGCTACCCTGGTAATCAGCAGGGTTAGCCATCTGAAGTGATTTACCTCAAGTAGTTTTAAAAACACTTGTTTTCTTCTCCAATGCTTTCCCACTTAAAACTAAACGTAATTTGACAACTCAGAAATTGGTTCGAAGTATTGTTGGTTAAATTAAAAAGTTTGGAATAACCACTCGCCACTCCCTGGACGGAAAGTACTCCACCTCTGTTGCCTTCAAGAACTTCTATCCTCGTATACAGAACCACTTTCCATTCTGAAGTATCTCTGAAGGACAGGAGAGTGACAATCTTTACACAGTCACATCCATAGTTGCCATTAGGCAAGAAAGCAAGTAACCAGATTTGCTGAAAATTGTCTAGTCTCCCTCCAGCATTTTTATGTAAATGAGACCTAAAGCAAAATTTACCTGTAACTGCGATTTTTTTCAAAATCCTTGTTCAAAACTTATTTTGACTAGGTAATTGTTCCTTTAAAAAAATTTTGATGTTCTTAATGGTTCTTATTCATTTGTTCACTCAGGAATGCTAGACACTTAATTCCAACACTTTTCATTCACTATTTACAAATTTCAAGTCTCAAACTCTCAAATACAGTAAAGTCTCAAATATAGTTTAAACATACCTCAGCAGTATATTAGCTAAAGCACTTAAACAGTATTTCCCATCACTTTTCTGCTACTGTTCCTACTCAACTCATTAAATGTTGTAACTTCCTCCTGGACTGGGACTGGGTCTCACAGGACTAAAATATCTAAAAGATTATACTGCACAACTCCCTTGAGAGTTAAATTTATGATTTAAATTTACGAGCAAAAGTTTCAGAACCTAGTGGGAGTAAAGCACAATATGAGATGACATTTGCTTTAAAGTTACCTGCAACTTTATCAGTGAAAAACCCAGAATTTTCTACCGAAATGTTTTAATTTTGTCAAACCATCTCAACTGGATTTTACTCATGAGAAGTCATTTCTCTTACAAACATGTTTATCATTTTTGAAATATTGTTACCAGTATGCCCTGCTTTTTTTGGGAATTCTTTTCAATGGACGTATCGCTCTATAGCGGTTTTTTGGATAGGGGTAATATTTGTTAGATAATTTAATCTATCTCAATGCCACTGAAAGCAGATTATATATGAAACCAAAGCTACATATTTTCTTAAATGAAAGTACTATCTGCAGGAAGAAAAAGAGCTTACCTGCTGTCAGAACCTATGCCTTGGAAAGATTAGATGTTAGATATTAAAGTTGGTGCAGCTTAATCAGTGGGTTTTAACTCCCATGATGTTACTGGATGCTATTTTCTTCTTACTGAAGACTGCTCAAGGAGCTTCTATTTCTGCTAAGGCCATTTTTCTACCTAACACTGTCATAATTACAAAGGATATATTCATGCTGCTACACATTTAAAAGCTTTGGGCAGGAAAGGAAAAAATGCAAAATGCAGATCTTCTGTCATTCAGCTGCAGTACTAAAACCACTTTCCCCACATTGTTTTATTTTACGTAACAAGTTTATTTTTCTAAAGGCATATAGACAATAAACATTCAATCAAATCTTAACTTCTGCCAAGTATTATCTGTCCTAGAACTGTTCCATTAAGTTCCAGTGTCTAAGCATCTTAAATTCAATAATCATCGTCTTCATCAGAATCCATTACTTTTCTTCTGTTGAACTAGGGGGGGAAATTAAACAAGTGTCATTATGTGTTTAATAAAGCATAACTTAGATTTTCTGAGAAGAAATATTTCTACCCACTACAGCAAGACATTTTTCGGTCTTCAAAACAACTTAGTGTTTTACATCTAAGGGGAGGGGGAACGAAAACAGAAGAGCCTTAAAAATTAGACCCTCAATACATGCAACCTTTCTCCCCAAACTTCCGTGTGTTACAAAATGGAAACGTGTATGGGCTAAAACAGGTTTTGATACAACAGATGTATATTCAACACATCATTTAAAATATCAATCTTTTTTCTTTTGCCATGTACACTTGGGGAAACTTACTTTAACTGTGGTTTTCTTTTCTGTTTGTTGGCTTACTTTTTCAAGGATTTCTATTAAACCTTGTTCTGTTACCTAGGATAAGCAGAAAGAAAAACAGTACTTTTTTTAAACAAAGAATTTACCTCAGCAGATTGAAACGTTTTCATCTTTCTAGGGTATGGGGTAGAGGCCAAGAAGGAAGGAGAGGTGGGGCAGTAAGTTGAAACCACCAGTTCTAACTGCAGGCATACTTCCTTCCACTGTGCTTCACTTTACTATGCTCCACAGGTATTGCATTTTTCTTTTTTTTAAGTGAGGGCAAATTGAAGACCCTCCACCAGCAAAAAGATTACAACTCACTTTATTGTAGCTGTCTGGAACCAAATCCACAATATCTCCAAGGTATGCCTATAGTGGTTTAAATTTCAAATAAAATTTGCTCTGCTAGTCCTCATTGCAGCGGAGGGGTATCCATCAATTAGCTTCCTCAGAAAAATCCAAAGTTAACAGGCATTTAAGAACACATTTATCACCGGTAGCAAAGACAACCACCTACACCACTCTGTTAAGTTCAGGGATAGACATATCACCTCTGCCCCTGAGAAGCTTATGCAGGAAATAAGTCACTCAAAAGAGATGAACCAGTCATTGTCTCTTCCACACACATTCTTAGTGTAAGGAGTTTAGGGCAGAATTGATCCCTGCAGGCTGTGGTGGCAGCAGAGGGCTTCCCAGTACAGATGGGGCGCGTCTGGATCTTGAAGGAAAGTCAGGCTTGCCAGAATATACCCCATGGCATTACAGCAATGCACGTAATGACCAGGAATTTTAGCACCGCCTCATTTGCAAAATAAGCTTAACATCTACCTACATTGGTAGTATTTTAATTAGTATTATTGAGAAACCTTGTTTCAGTGTAGGAGCAATTTAAGCCAGCTGACCCTAACAGTCACACAGACACCAAGGTTGCACAGCAATGTCAGGAAAGAAGCAGGATTTTAGCGAAGGCAATTAATTATCTTTTAGGATTTATGGTAGATATAACTATTTTCTCCTTTAAAAATTGCTTCTTTGAAATAGTCAACAAGAATTCTGCAACCAGAAGATGAAAGTGACCTTTTGAAGATATGTTTTGATAAAGTAGGTAGCAATAGGTAAAACTGCCTCAAGGCAGTCCAAGCTTACCTTCCCACTTAGTTGTCCATATCTTGCCATCTGTATGAGGTAATTCTCTACTGCTTTAGTTTTTTCAGGCTTAACAAGTGCTAAGTTACTTACTAAAAATAAAAAAAAAAGTAAGTATACAAAAAGGCATAAAAACTAAATGTACTTATATTATACCTTAAAACTAAGAACCAACATTTCCAAAGCACTTCATGGACTTATTTATGACTGGAGACTAGCAAAGAAGGTATGGCTGAAGGTATTGTTACCCCTCTTAAAAATGGGAAACTAAAGTTCAGCCATGTCAATCTCAGTCAAGGCCACACAGAAGGGGTGGCAAAGCCAAGATTAAACTTGGGTCCTCAGGTTCTAAGCCCCATGACTTTTTAAAATAATGAACGATTGCCCTCTGGAAAACAAGTTATACATTACTACACATATAATTGTAGAGATAAATCCAAGGCTGCCTCTTCTAAGCTGGACTTCAAGTTACAATACAAAAGATACTAGTTCATTCCAATGGGCTCATTTTTTTTCTTCATGGTTTTCTTATTAAAAATTATGAACTAAAACAGAATGCAATACATCCCCATGCCTCCATCACCCACATCAACTACCAGCAACATTTTTGGATTGACTTAGGAGTTGTTTCCTAAAATTTTACCTAATAAGCACTTGGAGATCATCTCCCTGGTAGGTGAGGACTGAGCTGCTTTTAATAATTTATATTTCTTTAGGTTTATAAACTTCACATTTCTCACAAATATCTGTATCTTAAGTGGTTTTAGGTTAAACAAATATTTACTCTAGAGAGAGTATTAATTTCATATATATCTCCTTATTCAATTAACCCAAGCCAATCTTATGGAGATAACTTAAAGGTAACTGAAGATGCTTACACCGGGCCCGGGCTGACTGATCCAGAACTTGGGCTAGGATGCTGTTTCTCATTTCTGCTTCCCTACAATAAAAACAGGTCAAGCAAAATTAGAACTAAGCTGTCAGCATTCCTATTGAACATACAAAAATGTAACTCACTCAATAAATTTCCCAGGATGGAAGCCCACTGCATACATAGACTGCACTATAGTAGGTGCTGTCTGGATGGTAGCAGCTATTGTTATAGAAGAGTCTACTCTTGTCTTCAAAAGCCAGCTTTATATTGTATATTGTATAGGTGTAAACCTACCAGGTTGAAAGGTAAAACTTTACATATTCACAATTCAGGGTAGTTTCAGTTCAACCACCATTACCAACATTTATTTGGTATCTAGTGTGGGAGAGTGCTAGAAATTTGTAGAGATTTCTTGCAATGAGAAAGACCAAATGATTAATCCATGCAATTATCTTAAGAGATGAAGAAACCAAGACCTAAATAAGCTATGTTACGGAAACATAGGTATTTGTGGCCAAGCTAGACCCAGATCCCATGTTTTGAGACTCTCAGTTCTATTTTTTGGGTGGGAGAGGGTGAAATTATAACTCTGCAACTATCTTTGAATCTTCCTACCTATATAAGTAGGAACTAGTTCATATTCCAAGGACAGTGGTTTCAAACTTTTAAGTAGCAGCAATGTTTTTAAAGTGAAGTCCTTCAAGGAACTTAATATACAACACAGACAAAAGCAGAGATATTTTTGGCTGAACTGAGGGGAACCTGGGGGTGGCTGTGCTCACTAACTGTCCCCATATGGTTCATGAACACTTGCAAAGCCATACCTTATCGCGCCCGAGTACTTCAACCCTGCCATAAACTACTGTTACTATATTTCACTGAATTTAAAATGCTATTAATTGTAAGATGAACCATAGTGTTATGTACCTCTAAGAACAAAAAAACACCGTACATGAGAACTCTAATAAGAGATCCCCAACTCAAAGCTGAGGCATCAAAGAGCAGCATCCACAGTACAAGATAAACAAGAAATGTTTACCATGCAGAAAGGGACAGCAAGTAAGGATGCATGCATCAGACTTTGCCCTAAGTGGAGGAAGAAAAAAATTCCTCTGAGAATTTGAACTTCAAGCTTTAGTCTTATAGGTTTGCTGTCTGAATTCACACTACCAAGGTGGAGGGAGGGGGAGAACCTCGACGAGAGAATTTAAAACATCTCAGATTGAGAATGTGCCCAAGTGAAGGCAGAAGCAAAAATAAATCCTCTCTGAAAGAATCTAGGACAACGATCAATTATGAGACCCATACCAATTTCAGATATGTTAATACGTGGAAAAATGTACACTTCAGAATTAATGAAATTCGTGGTTTTATTTTCTTCATAGCACTATCCCAAGTGCTTACCATCTGTCTTCTGCCACTAAAATAAGCCACATAAGGACAAAAACCTTCTCTGCCTTACCTATTTCTATACACCCAGCATGGTGTCTGACCTAAATCAAGTGCTCAATAAATATTTGCTGTGTAAGTTAAAAGGCAGCATGATGGAGGGAGGAGAAAATGGGGAGTTGTTCAATAAATGGTTTGTCTGCAAGATGAAAAAGTTCTATTGCACAATAAGTATGTAGCTAACATGACTGAAGTATACACTTAAAAACGGTTATTACAGTAACTTTTATGTTATGTATTTTTTTCACAATTAGGAAAAAAGGTAGCATGATGGGGTAACTACTCATTCAATAAATACGCCATGTGTGATGTGTTCTGCCTTGTGCTGGGATAAAATTAAAAGAATATAAAGTTAGTATTTACCTAACACTTACTAAATTATGAGGCACTGGATCCATGCAACCCTCACAACATCTCTATGAGGTAGACCTATTGTTATGCTCATTTTAAGGTAATCCTAGTTTATCAGAGAAACATCAACCAATAATTGTATTAACAAGGTAATAAGTGCTGTAGGGTTCCACACATTTAACAAGTTGATAACAAAGATACCCTGATAGTTTAAAAAACCACTATGTCAAGAAAAACTTTACGATTCACAAACGAATAACTAAAGTGTAAAACAAAAAAATTTGGTGAAATTATCCTTCAAAAAGTTCAGAGTTCCGGCCCATACCTGTGCTTTGCTTCCTGTTGTGCTGCATCGCCAGGATCCTGAAAAAAAATTTTATCTTTCAGTTGAGTAACTTTACAGAGAAAATTGGAACTATTCTGTTTCTGATACCGAATCGGCTACTGCAGTGGTAGAGATCAAATTATTATCAAATAATTAAAGGCTGGGTCTCCCAGAAGTCAATGGGAGTTTCCACTTACTACAATGTTTTGATAACCTTCTAAAGTCATAATCTAATAGAATGTTTTAGAATACAAACAACCATTAGGTAGGAGAGTCTCTGTACAATGAAACCGTATTTTACGAGGTAAAAATAATTTCTGGGCGGAAAAAATGTGCTGCTGTATTGGGGACGCTGATGATTTAAATGGCGCTTCCTCGGAGACGGTCACGCTCCAATCCTTGTACGGTCCTCTCCCATTCTTAACAATATAGTCATTACTTGAGTATTTCACCTATGGGGTTAGTGTTTAGTGTTGGCCCCTCCCGAGACTGTCAACTCTGTCACAGGGGATTGGATATTCCGCGCTGTATCCTCAGCACCCGACACTCTACAGTCCCTCAACAAATGTTTGGCAACTACTTGAGGCAGAACAACTGAATTCTAGAAAATAATTCAGCTGGAACAGTAGCCGAATCAGGCTAGATCCCAAAGCTAAAGGTACGGAGACCCGAGGAGCTGAACATTCCGCTCTGGACGATGCCGGACCGGACGAGGCCAACTTCTAAGGAGAGCCGACCTGCTACCCCGGAGAGGCCGGGAGCCGGACCCGCCCGGGGCAGCACGTGTTCGGCTTGCTGCCCGAGCCCCCATGCGATGGAGAGAGGCCCAAGACAGCCTCGGAGGCCGAGGCAGCGG